TTGCTATTGCTATTGCTATTGCTATTATTTTATATATCATTCACTTTCGCACCTAAATAGTCAGTCTTTGCTTTGCTACGCTTCTAATCATTTATAATTAGTAAAAGTACACTTGATTTCTACCTATGGAGTCTCGTGGTCTTCTTTCCTAATTACTCAATGAAGAGGTGCTGACAGGGTATCCCTAAGGCACCAAGGCACGTGGCGCTCTGCCCGCCCCCCAGCTCCCGTGGCTTGGCACATTCGGGATACCCCCTAGGTCAGTGCATGGAGCTCTGCCCAGCTGAAGAGGGTGGTTGCGCGAGCGCCTGTTCCACCCCCAGCTTGCATGCCTCCCTGCCTCACCATGCCCTGGCCCAGCTCTCCCTGCAGGGCCAGGGCACCACCACCACCGCGCTCCGAGCATAACTTCTTCTCCGGCTTCCAAACTCTGGAACTCGGCTTCTGATTCTTCCAGCAGCAGCCGCTCTAGGAGTGCGCTCTATGGTTGTGGTCTGGCTGCCATAGGGCCCACAACCACCAAGTTATGTTCGGAGCGCGGCGGCGGCAACGGTGGTGCCCTGGCCCTGCAGGGAGAGCTGGGCGAGGGCATGGTGAGGCGGGGAGGTATGCGAGCTGGGGGCGGAACAGGCGCTCGTGCAACCACCCTCTCCAGCTGGGCAGAGCTCACCATGCATTCATATCTCACCACCTTCTTTTTTTGTTTTGGCAACCCTTTCGATTTCCCTTGCACCGAAAGCAATTTCCAGAAAGCCTCAATACTCCCCTGCCCTCATGATACTTATCCTTTAAGTCCTTGTAACAACCTCCTGGGCGTTGCTTTGGGGTCTGCGGGGTGGGGGGGCAGCTTCATTGTCATTAGTGTACCCTCACAACACCCCCTCCCCTGGGCAACTGAGAGCCACAAACTTGGTCTCCCCAAATCTGAGATTTTCCCCATCCCCCCCCGCCCAATTCCTGTTTCCTGCCGCCCCTTAAAGAAACTTTTGTTTGCTTGTTCTTTCCTTTGCACGTCACCCTTTCCAAATAAGGGACCCAGTGTGTAAAACGGGGATGGGAGCCATTGTTTCTTTTCGCCCATTGTCTTAAAGAGTTGCTTTTAATGATATAGCATTTCCTTGCTGCATCCAGGAATCTTAGTCTCCTGGCTAACTCCCAAATGAATCCCTTTTGGAAAGCTCCAGGACATAAATCTGTTGCAGCCTCCCCCATGCCAGGCGATTTCCACCATCTTCCTCTGTTCCTTCCCTCAGCTGTTGTTGCAACTGTATCTATCTATCTATCTATCTATCTATCTATCTATCTATCTATCTATCTATCTATCTATCTATCTATCTATCTATCATCATCTATCTATCTATCTNGGAGGAGGCCAAATCAATGGGATCGATTCGGTTGGGTGGAGGCGATTGGCGGTAGGCGGTCTCTCAAGTACCCAGGCCCACTACCATGAAGGGCTTTATAGGTGATAAGTAGCACCTTGAAGCGCACCCGGAGATCAACAGGTAGCCAGAACCGAGGTGCACCCACTATCGCTCGCGCGGCCGCGTTCTGGACTAGCTGGAGTCGCCGAATGCTACAAGGGCAGCCCCATGTAGAGCACATTGCAATTGAATTCCCTAGTCTCGTGATGCCTATGGCATGTGTGCCCAAAGTGGCACGCGGAGCCATGTCGCCCGGCATGTGCAGCCTTGCCTGTTTGTCTTCCGGGCTTCTGGCGTGCATGCGTGCGTGATGATCAGCTGCCCTCCGTGCATGCGGCAGTGCCTAAATCGGGGGTAAGTATGCCCGCTGGCCAGCTGATCGTTGGGCGCATATGTGTGTTAGAACCTGGAAGTTTGACTTTTCCAGGACGCTGCCCTGTTAATGCATTCTGCATGATGTTTTTGGCACTCATAAGCTGTAAAGTGAAAAGGTTCACCATCACTGCCCTAGTTCTTGCATCTGATGAAATAAAGCAAAATCACATAATCATTCAGACAATAAATACATACATATATATACACACATTCATGACTCTACAGCCAAGTTTCTGCAGTTTTCTTGACAAGATTTTCAACAGGGCTTTACCGTTGCCTGTTTCCTAGGGCTAAGAGAGAGTGACTGGCCCAAGATCATCCAGCTGGCTTCATGTTTAAGGCAGGATTAGAACTCACGGTTTCCTTACTCCTTACTCCTTTAACTACTATATCAAACTGGCTTTCATTTTTAAAATGTGCAGAGATTTGTTTTAGAAACACCAGGTTTCCCATAATATGAAAAAGAAGGTTGGTATAAGTAAGCTTTTGGGTGAGCCACACATAATGGAGGGGAGGGGCAGAGTTAAAAGCCCATTTAATAAATAGAAAACTGTATGAGGATGGAGGAAATAATTTTTGAGGTTTTCTTCCGTTAATTGAATATGCTAATTTTAAAGATCGCACTGTAGTGTGTTCATACAATGTCCAGGCAGTGATCCCAAATAGCAATACTTTGCTAACAAATTTCACCTATCATTGTCAGAGGAAATTCTAAGACTCTGGGACTGAAAGGCTCTAGGATTAGAGATCTCTTATCCTTCTTTAAAAAAGCTTATTACAAGGAGGGCACAGTGGTGCTGAGGTGGTGCAGTGGATAGAGTGCAGTATTGCAGGCCACTTCGGTTGACTCAAAAGCTGCGGTTTGGCAGATCGAATCTCACAAGGCTCAAGGTTGACTCGGCCTTCCATCCTTTTGAGGTGAATAAAAGGAGGACCCAGATTGTTGGGGCCAATATGCTGATTCTGTAAACAGCTTAGAGAGGGGTGTAAAAGCACTATGAAGTGGTATATAAGTCTAAGGGCTATTGCTAGGGACAAAACTGATGTCATTTTTTATACAGACATCCTAGGAGAATTGCAAAACATATGTGGAAAAATGGAAAGAGAGGTGTATTTGTATATGAATGAATAGGGTGGGAGCTTAAGCATTAGTGAATGAATGAGGGGGGGGGGAAACCATGTGTAAGAGAAAGAATGAAAGAAGGAAGAAATTGTTGGGATTCATGAGACAGAGCACAAGGAGCTATTTAATCTGTCTTTTTAAAGCTAATTCTTTCTGAAGACAATATCACACTATAATTTCTAGGCAAGACATGTAGCCATAACTCTTAAAAATAGCACGTGGTGAATTAAAACCCTTATTAAACAATTCCTAGAGTGCTTACATTTCCAGAAAAACATAAGTCATTTTATATTTTTCCTTCTGGGTTTGTGTAGCAAGCAAATTGTTTATTTTCCCCATAAAAAGACTAGCAAGTCGAATACC